AGGTGTCAATACAGTGAGATGTGGAGATTGAATACAATAGCGTTTACCAGGGCGGAGTGTGATATATGGTGTTGGATTTTTTTTTATAGAAAATATGCATATACAGTTTAAGATGCTAATAGGAATTTCTATTTTTTTTATTTGGCAATTGAAGTGTAATTTGTAACCGTTTCTTTCAATATCCGGTGTTGCAACGTTCCCATCGTCTATTGCAACATTGACATATAAATAATTCAACATTTCCACCTCACTAGTCATGTGAGATGGAAATTAATATTTATATGACAAAATTGTCAAAAATTACTATTTATTTCCCCAGTGGTAATTTCAGTAAGTCACCCCCAGTTGCACACCCCCCTTCCCACCTCAACTCCCCCCCCTCCCCCCACTCCCCCCACTCCACACCTCCACCCCAGCGGGGAATCCTGAACACTTACCAAAGTCTTCTCATCACTTCTCTCCCATAAAGCACCTGCCACCTGGAATCTTTCTCCACCTCTTTGCTTCCCCCCCTCCCTGTCCCCCTCTCCCTCCTCTCCTGTTCCCCCTCCCTCCCCTTCTCCCCTCCCTCCTTGACGCACTCTCCAACCTCCAGTTTGGAATTGTCTTGGCGGTGGTCCAAACAGACTCTCCTGGATAGTGACTGCTGGCTGACAGCTGAGTAATAAGGTGCTGGTGGGGTGAGGGGAGACGAGAGTGGGAGAGGGGGGGGATGCGAGAGGGGGACACGAAATAGAAGAGATCGGAGAGGGGAGAGGAAAGGGTGAGCCAGGGAAGGGAGAGACAGGGAGGAGAAGCGGTTGGTGTAAAGTTGATTTTATCAGTGCATGACCCGTTGAAAGTCAGGCCACAAGCACTGTGGAGGAGGAGGGAAGGGAGAGAAAGAGAGAGAGAGAGAGAGAGAGAGAGAGAGAGAGAGAGAGAGAGAGAGAGAGAGAGAGAGAGAGAGAGAGAGAGAGAGATGGTATACACACACAAGAGTAGAGGAAATATAATTATGTATTACCAACACACCTTCCCGCTGCACCACCTACACTACACCTCCCTCACACTTAGTAAATGAGTAGATGAGTAGTTAGTAAACGGAATGCATTAGGAAGTGATGTGGTGGAGGCTGACTCCATACACAGTTTCAAATGTAGATATGATAGAGCCCAGTTGGCTCAGGAACCTGTACACCAGTTGATTGACAGTTGAGAAGCGGGACCAAGGAGCCAGAGCTCAACCCTCGCAAGCACAACTAGGTGAGTACACCTCCCCCACACTACGCCTCAGAGCCCCGGCTGCACCACATTCCCCGCCCTCACTCACCCTGACATTACCAGACATGAGCTGGTCGACCTAACTTGATTAATGGTCACAGTCGGTATTGTCATGAGCTTGTTTGTGTTCTTACCTAGCAGTCCTTACCTAGCAGTCCTTACCTAGCAGTCCTTACCTACACCGAGGTCCTTGAGTCTCCTGGCCTCCCACAGGAGCCTCACCCCCCCCTCCTCCTACTCTTAAGGATGTGTGAGATCCGGTGGAGGTCTCCCAGACCTTTGGGAAATTGAGGTCAACCTGGAATGTTGAATAATTCGACTGTGACACTCTGACACCAGACTGGCGTGCCCCGAGGCTGTGTTTTGTGTGTGAGTTGTGGGGTGGGGTGGGGTGAGGCCTCGTGGGGTGGGGGGAGGCCTCGTGGGGTGGGGGGAGGCACTTACCTACACATAGGGCCAGTCTTCAGCTCCTGGAGCCCAGTTTTTCCCCCAGAGCTGCATGGTTGTCTCTTGCAAGGACTCCTGACCATTATGTTAATTGTCAACTTTCAAAGTATGAATGAATCACTTGCCAATTATTTCATGTTCTTGTAACAGACTAGGCTGTTGTAAGAATTATCCAGAGTGGTTTATCGACAAAAGAGAATGGGAAGCTGAGCCGCATGGTGACCTGACCCCCAGGGGAATTCGCGGTGGAAATAACCGACGCTTTGTTCATATCTGCGTATAATGAATCATCCTATAGTATTCAGTAATTTAGAGAAAATTAGCCTTTATTCATTTTTATTAAAATTGTATTGTATAATAGTACTGGATACAATATCAAGAGTATTCTAATTATTGAGTTTAAGTCACCATCAGTGACGTCACGAATCAGATCTAACTTTTAAAGCGGAGTGACCGGCGGTCATAGGTCATCAGGGGTTGACAGGTCTAATATTTCTCAAAGTTTTAATAACCATTTTTGTGATCGGGAACAGCTCTGCCGTTAGATGTTTGTAATTTAATTCAGTAAAATAATTCAACCAGTCTGGATCAATTAAGTACAACAGAGTTTAATTGTTATAACTTAACCTTGCTAAAGTAACTGGGTAAGCGATGCGGAACAATACAATACTCTGTCTGGGGTAGTCCAGACAAGGAAAAAATCAGTGTGAATACGGGAGCAGCTGGGAGAGGTCAAAACATCTTACCTCTCCCCAACACCAGCCCCAACACCGAGAGCTGGGAAACATAGAGGTATAGTTGCTATGGTTATGTATAGAAATAGTCTTCTCATTTGCCATTCAGGTCAAGTAGGGAGTGTTAAAGTGATAGGGAGTGAACACATTTAGATTTTGTTTTAGTTTTTCTTTTAATAAATTAAATTTGTTAATATTTTTGCATTTCATTATTTCCATGTGTTTTTTTTGTGTAAACTTGTCCTGGTCACGTGGTCCACACGAGGCAGAGTTGTATTGGGCGCCGATTCTAACATCGAATCGGAATTATCATTACCGTGTAATTTATTCCACACTCAAGGTCATCGTATATAGTGGGGATCAAGCCCCAAGGTTGATTAATTAGCGTGATCGATCCAGACCTCGATCATTGCTCTGTAGAGCTGGTCTGGTGGTGGCAGCAGAGGTGACTCTAGGGTTTTGTTCAGAGCTTAGGTCACGTCATACTGGGTGTAGAATCCTAAGTCGGTCAATCGTCTTAGGACCACGTGGCGTGGAGTTGGCTTTGTTAAAAGTTTTGGAGTCCCTTGGTTTAGAAATAAAAGTAAGAATACGGGTAGAGGGCAAAGAAAGAAGGAAGTAGAGAGAGGAACCCAAACCCGTGTTACAATGGTGCACAGCGGTGGTTTCAACAATTTTGTTTGAAATTGTTGAAAGGCTCACGCGTCTAGCCGTTCGAACACGTGCGCGGATGCTAAGGAGACAGCCGCGGGCCAGGATTAGCAGTGCGCCCCACAACAGTGCGGTTGAGTGGGGATTGGCGAATCTTGGGTCATGCGGGCTGATATGATTAAGGTTTAGTTAGTAAGATTAGGCTGTTAAAATAGATTTATTGAAAAGGAGACCGCTCCGAGTTGATTGGACTGGGTACCATACTCGACCCATTGCAATTAATTCAGAGGTGTTGGGAGCCACCATACTCTCAACAGCAGTTCCTTGAGGGCTGTCGGGGGCGGATATATCTGTGGGACGCCAGTAGATAGTCCGAGGGCGTTATTAGACGACCCAAAACGCTAGGAAAAACGTAATCCGTGAAGGGCGTTGCGGCCTCCGAGGGACGGACTAGTAACCTACCTAGCAGCGATTCAACAACTAAGTGATCGCACACTTAGTGGAGGTTGAGTCGTCCCTAGTCATAATTGTTGCTGAAAGCTGCGTGTCGCTCTGTTGGAACCTAGATGGTGTGGCCTCTAGGCTAGGTGTGGTACGGCGAGCCGGTAGGAGCAATTATAAGATTAAGTCGAGTGCATTTTTTAATTAAGTATACTTAAATTTATAAAGTAATTTCAGTTTATTTGCGTTGTTCTAGATTAATTTTTTCCCCTAAATTCAATCCCCGTGTTACATTCTGTTTCGTGCCGCTCGCCAGCGGCTCTTATATTGCAGAAATATTTTCTCACATCCCATTTGTGTGTGGAGCTTCGTGCCGTGTACTCCTCTTGTTTTAACACTACTGCTCAAATTAAACATCCTGTCACCATTTCGTCATTACCCCTTGAGTATTTTAAATATCTGGAACATGTCCCCTTCATTGATTTTCTCCTCTAGTGTCATGAGATTTAGTTGTTTTAGTATTTCCAAGCAGCACAATCTTCTAAATTCTGGGATTAATCTTGAAACAAACTTTTGTTATTTTCTTTATTTTCTTTCCTGTGAGTTGTGTTCTTGATAGTGGAGGCGCCACCTGGGTAACCCCCCGGACACTGGCCGGACAGTTGCTGTACCTCGCCTTCTGAACACTTGCTTGTCTTTCCTAGTAACTCATGCCTCTCACCACTGGCACCAGTGTTGGGGCATATTTCGGGACTCTCTGCAACTTGGGTTTTGTGATAAAAGAGAAATGGTCCGGCGTTAAAGGTACGCAAGGACCTGAAACACTTTAAGAACAACTTTGTAGTAGTTGTTATGAAAACAAAAATCTACAATTAAAGAGAACTTTGAGAAAAAAATTTAGTTAGTAGTTAGTAACAGTTGACTGATAGTTCAGTGTCGGGCTGAAGAAGCAGAGCCCAACCCCCGCAAGCACAACTAGGTGAATACACAAACCTGAACTCTCCTTATCTCCTGTATTTTCACCTGTTACGCCCTTAATGCATCACTATACTAGTAGTTCCATCACCATCCACTGTACCCATCACCATCCACTGGACCCATCACCATCCACTGTACCCATCACCATCCACTGTACCCATCACCATCCACTGTACCCATCACCATCCACTGTACCCATCACCATCCACTGTACCCATCACCATCCACTGTACCCATCACCATCCACTGTACCCATCACCATCCACTAGACCCATCACCATCCACTGTACCCATCACCATCCACTGTACCCATCACCATCCACTGGACCCATCACCATCCACTGGACCCATCACCATCCACTGTACCCATCACCATCAAACACAACTTTCATTCCAATTGAAAACAGTAGGATATCCCACCTGAATAATATTTGTGTGTGTGTGAGTGTGGAGGAGAGCGGACTAACACGTGTGTGTCTCTGGGCAGGACGAGGGCTGGAAGCTGAACCGGGTCCACTACTACCAGGAGGGCTGGCTGGCCACCGGCAACGCCCGGGGCATCGTCGGCGTCACCTACACTACTTCCCACTCCAAGAAGCCCTCAGACCTGCCATCCAGGACCAACTACAACCTGAGGGGCCACAGAGCTGAGGTGAGTGCAGAGAGAGAGAGAGAGAGAGAGAGAGAGAGAGAGAGAGAGAGAGAGAGAGAGAGAGAGAGAGAGAGAGAGAGAGAGAGAGAGAGGAGGAATAAAGATGAGATTGAGGCAGACAAACACTCACACACTTGGATACAATAACCGCTCGACACACATACATAGAGGTAGACAGGCCACAGAGACGTTAGAAATAACTTTTTCAGTGTCAGAGTAGTTAATAAATGGAATGCATTAGGCAGTGATGTGGTGGAGGCTGACTCCATACACAGTTTCAAATGTAGATATGATAGAGCCCAGTAGGCTCAGGAACCTGTACACCAGTTGATTGACAGTTGAGAGGCGGGACCAAAGAGCCAGAGCTCAACCCCCGCAAGCACAATTAGGTGAGTACACACATTCAAAATCCGGACACAGGCGGATCGACACACACGCAGACACAGCCAGACACAATCAGCTCCACACACACACAATCAAAGACAGTCTCGGCCAGGCCGGCATACAACCATACTGAGACACAGACAGACAGACAACACAGCCAGACTGTGAGAGCTTGGCTATGCACAGTTACTGGTGTGGTATATGGCAGTGCACTCAGCCCTCACACCACTCTCCAGTACTCAAGCGTGAGTGAATGATCCTAGTAATTGTATTAATGAGAATAGACCTTGCATGGGGGATGTCTGTGTGAAGCACTAATTGCCATGGACAATGTTATTGGACGAAGGCCATTGTGTGCCCTTTGTGTGACGATTTACATAGTAGCACAGTGTCAAGCGAGGTCGCCATCTTGTGTACCACTCACACTATATTTCCAGCTGAAGACTAGAAATGTACAATTCTGAGGGTGAAGAAAAAAAAATATATGTATTCAATTTTTTTTTAATGTGACTTACACCCTTTCCTAAGGTGCTATGTACCATATGTATACAACATCTTGAGAAAGGATGTAGGTTACGTCTGAAAATTTGCTTTCTAATACAATTACACATATATTGGGCCCTTCCTTCACCTTCATTCAAGCACCACCACATTGTAGCAAGTTTCAGCTATGCACATATTCCAAGGATAACATCAACAGCATACTTTACAACGGCAAAAATCAGAACATCGTTCATGAACCTAAAATAACATTCAATTTAACAATGAAAATACTACATTACATATAGTTTATCTAAATAAGGAGGTGCCAGAGACCGGCCCTAGAGTAGGTCGGCCCATCCTGCAGCCTCTCTCAAAAATCACACGAAGAAATATGAAAAGATTCTGAGGTTTGCAACGAGGCTCGTCCCAGAATTATGAGCGATGGAGAATGAAGAAAAAGTGAAAGAGATGAACCGAATATCAGAAGAAAAGAAAAGAGAAGGCAAAAGAAGCATAAAATTCTTTGGGGAATTGACAAATAGATGTTCATAGTGAATATCAATTGATCAGATTGATATAGTTGGAAGATTGAGAAACAGATGAGTCATAAATAAGATTGAGAAACAGATGAGTCATAAATATGTTATAATATAATTGTTGCTAATGTAAGAGTAGCAGGGAACTACAATGAGCAATACGAACAGGTTGTAGAAGCCAACTTTATTCATAATTTAAAAAGCAAAGTTAATAGAAAAAAATAGCTCGAGATTCGTTGCATTAGACAACTGGCAGCCGGGAAGGCGGGGGTCCAAGAGATAAAACTCAACCCCGCAGGCACAAATAGACGAGCACAGACAGGAAACACAGTGAAGGAAAAGGAGGAGGAGAAGGAGTGTTCCTCCTGATTAGAATCAACTTCCAGAAAAGAAGGATTGACTGGACACCAACCCTTAACTGTTACCCCCCTGTCCATCCAGCAGTAAAAAATGGGTACCTGGTTGTTAACTCTCTGATGCCTGACCTTTCAAGGTCTTTTTCACTGCCTGTGCTGCTTTCTGGATGCCTTAAGATGCTCATTTTGCTTCAATGAATTTTCTTCGCCTGCTCTGTATCCTCCTTTGACACGTCTTGGCAAAACAGGTTAAGGCTTACCATGAGCTATAGATCACGGTAAGATCTCGACCTGCTAACAGAGGGCAGAAGTCTTCTGCTCTTGTACCCACCAATGTGAAAACAGAAAAAAAGAAAAGCCTTCATCACCCAGAAGAGGCAAGGGTCAGTAGACAAGTTTGTCCCGCTCCAAAAAAGAGAACAATGAAATGTAAAGGAGGAACTCATTGTTTAAGCAATGTTAAAAAACAAACCAAAGGGTATGGAAAAATTAGATGAATAACAGAACACGGGAGCAGAGAAGGGCACCAAAGCGCCAGGGATGAATACCTCAATATGAAACAAGAAACAGGCCGTTTACAAACGACAAACTGGAAAGAGTGAAGACATAACCAACACTAATTTACAGCCACACCTGGAGGAAAACATCAGCAAAGGAACAGTTGATGATATTGAGAACATGGGAGGACATATTCACAAAGAATGACAGGGAGGTGTGTGAGGAAACTCATCAAGTGATTCCAGGTTTTCACAATAAAGCAAGGGGTACTTCCTGAACTGAAGGACATGGTGTTATATTAAGCATCACTGGAGAAATTTGAGACTACAAATGTTGAGGTAACACTGCATCTGCTGGAACTGGACTTGACAAAAGTTCTTTGGCCACAAAAATCAGAGCATAGATCGTAAAAGAGAGAGCAAAAACCCTGTTTATCTATTTTAATGGTGCTTACATAAGTCACTGAAAATAGGAGACAGAAAGTTGGAAGATAGTGTAATCCTACCTTATAAGAAGGGAGACTTTTGGAGGGAATGACACTAGGTAGTGTCCCTATCTTGTATACCATGTAAGGTGATGAGAAGATCGCGAGAAGAATTCTACGACCGAGCGACAGGTATCAAATAAGATAGAAAAGGTTGAACAGACTGCATATTTTCGGACTGTCAGAAGAGTTTTGAGACAGAACCCCATTAGGCACTAGTGCACAAGCTGGAGAAGTAGGCAGGAGTTTTTTTTTATTATTATTTTCTACCACAAACGTGGCCACACATTTACAATGCTAACCAGAGGAGTGACAGGAAATGTACTGCAGTGGATAATGGAGTACCTAAGCAACATAAAACATGGAGTCACTGTGAAGGGAGAGATCTGAGACTAGAGGATGTTACCTGTGGGGTTCCACATGGGCCAGTACTCGGACCTATCATATTTCTGAAATACGTAAAGAATCTACCAGTGGGAATTTAACTCATTCATCACAATGCTTGATAATGATGCCAACATTTTTATGATTATTATGAGAGAGGAAGACATCAAGAAACTACAAAATAACCTGGACAAGTTGAAACAATAGTCCACAAATGCCTACAAGAATTAAATTCGAGTAGGTGAAATTTAATGAAACTAAGTATAGGGAAGAGGCTTGCCTGGTGCAAGCAAATGCATTAAGGCATATCTAATTTTACTTATGCTATATATATATACCTGTGTATACCATTTTCATATACTATAAACTAACGTGGAAGACACTTAAGTACTCTATATCTACCATTTCCCTAAGCAGAGCAACTAATTACTTTTCGGGAGTTCCAATGTTTCATTAGTAAGTATTTGGGACGGTAAAGTGGAAATACTGTGTTTCTAACTATATACAGCCGCACCTCCATACATATTACTACAATCGTTTTTTTAGAACAATAAGTTTTTTGAGTAAGTATTGTAATTAATTTCATATTTTCAAAATATTGTTTGGGTCCGTCTGAATGAGTAGAGATGAACTGAATTTGTTTACCCATGTCTTCCTATTTTTTAATTTGTTGTGAAGCGGGGGGGGGGGGGTCACTTTGTTGTTTGCTAATGGGGTGGTGGGGAGGAAAGGTGGGGGGGAGGGGGGAGAGGGGAAGGGGGAATCTGTCGTGGGCTGGAGGGGGGCGAGGATCGTTGGTAGGAGAGGCTGAGGGGTAACGATGGGCTGGCTGGATAGGGTGGGAAAGAGCGTATATCTCACTATTACGCACTTCACTTGACGAGCCAATTAGAGAATTGACTGACGCGAGAAGCGCCAGAACAGTCTGGCAACGAGGAGTATTGTTGGCGGAGAGGGAGAGGGAGAGAGAGGGAGAGGGAGAGAGAGAGGGAGAGGGAGAGGGAGAGAGAGAGGGAGAGAGAGAGAGAGAGAGAGAGAGAGCGGTTGTTTACGTCACACCACAGGACAAGGGTGCCATAGTGAACACAAACAATCAGCACCGTTGTATTACAGAGTGCCACGTGTGAGCAAGCGAGGAAACAAGTGATATGTGACGTGGGAAGAAATAATTGATAAAAAGGAAAGGTAAATGTCAGTTAAATTGCGAGTGTCTTAAGGCAATGGGACCCTTACACCTATCCCCCATCACCCACCCATTCCCCCATGTCTATGCTGCCATATTCCCCCACCAGATGCCACTTTACCTGCCAGGCACCGAACCTTGTCAATCACTCCTTCCATCGCCAGCCTCCTCACCCTTAACATTTCCCCCAATTCGTTACCTTAATGTGCCTTTTCACCGAAAACTTAATAAATAATTAAACTTGAGTAATAAAGGTAAATGGGAAGAAGAAGAAGAAGAAGAAGTAGAAGAAGAAGAAGAAGAAGTAGAAGAAGAAGAAGAAAGAAGAAGAAGAAGAAGAAGTAGAAGAAGAAGAAGAAGAGGAGTTCAGTGTTAAGAGAGGAAACAATGGTTGACAAAATAATCACCACCAACCATCGTCTTGGAAGACACTGGAGGTGGGAACAGAACAGCAGAACAGCCAGGCAGCTGTTCAATACTTTGCGTCAGTGGTTGAGGGTAATAGTTTGGGGGTGTGTGAATTAGTGCCAGCTGGCTGGCCTGTTGTACCGGGGCGTTAGATGTTACAGTATACTGATAACTCAAGGATCAACTGAGAGAAGAAAAACTGCTAGATAAAGCAGAGCCAAAGGAAGGATAGGGAATAGGGAGATCCTAGGGACAAAGATGGAGTGATAAGTAGTGGTCAAAGG